GGGGGCCTGTCCCTGGCTCTCCCGCTGTCCCTGCGGCCCGGCGGGGCTGGAAGGTCCCAGCGGTGCCGGGACTTGCAGGCTCTCCTGAGGGGATGAGAGAAAGCTGCTTCTGGAAGTTTGTTTTCTTTTTGTTGGGTTGCTAAAGGTTATGTCTTTACCCCACTAGCTTCACTGGCTGGGTTCTCTTTTCACGAGGCTTGTCGCGTAAAGCCAGCGAGGGCTAAAGCACTCCTCCCTCTGCGGCCACCTGGGAGCTCTGTCAAACCGTGCGGGCGCTTTGTGCTCCTCGCTCAGCCTGCTTCTAGCAGAGGCCTTTTCCTGGGCTTGTCCTAATGCAGTCTGCTTCCTAGCTGTTCTTACTATAATAAACAAATGCTTCTCTTGTTTCAGTGGTAGAATTAGATAAAAGTCTTATTTTTTTAAAGTATTTAAGATTAGTTTTTTTACTTGTTGAGTTTTAGAGTTTCCTATGTATTGTTTACAATGCAAGAGAGTTCTCTTCTTCATTCTCCTTTCCCCTGTATTTAGAAGCCACCAAAGCTTTCTAACTAGAAGGATTTCAGTGAGTCTGTTCTAAACCGAAAGGAAAAGTAATGCCTTTCATTAAATATTACATCTGTTAAAGAGATTACATTATCCTGTGAAGCTTAGAAAAACAGAAGAAGATGTAGATTTTTCAAAACACTCGCAGTTCAGTCTGCGGCCTGGGATTTTTTTTTTTTTCTAAGCTTTTATAAATTATGCTAAGACTCTTAGTATTGATTTAATATCCTGAATTTTATTGGGTGGGGAAGAAACCTACCCGTTTGTGTTAATTTTCTAGAAAAATTTTTGCATTTATTTTACTGATTTTATATTGCATGCAGTTTAAAACTATAAATGTGCAGTTTTATTACCTATTTCAAGTTTTCAGAAACTCATTTGAGATATATTTGCGCATCCTGGCTGAGTGAGGGGTGCTGGTATCTAGACTGAAGAGGAAGAAAAGTCTTTGCATAAGTAGATAGGTTTTAAAATTCTTGAAAAGTCTTAAATCTATTTTGTTAAGCAAGTATATTGACAGCTATCATATTTTCTTGCTTGAAGTTTTTCTGCTAAGCAGTAACAAGTAACAGCTAGCTAGACAGGCAAGTTTTGTTGGTACCCTGTAAAAAACAGAGAAACCGATATGCCAACTGAATTTTGCTGCCACCTATGAGAGTTTGAATTAGGCCTGGGCCCAATTAGGCCCGGAATCTTTAACAGAGGACAGAAGACAAAACCTGGAGGGGAAAAAAAAGTCTTAATGTTTACCATGAATGTAAAACTGCCTTGAGGAGGGTTTGTGGGTGAGAGGAGAATGCACTGAGGAGAATGGAAGCAGTAGCATTATAATAGTTGTCTATGCCATCATCTGTAGTGATAGATGCATTATAGATTTGTTTTGGATTAAGTTAGCAAATCTTGGCCTAGGCCAGTAGCTTCTGAGCTTTCATGTAGGATCGTTACCAATTTTGTAGGATTGTTACCAATTTGCAGCACTTCTTGTGAACCACCATGCAACTATATCTGTCTAATCTTTAAATTGAAGACATTGCAAAAGTGAGACCAGTTCTGTAAGCCGCGCTCAGTAGCTTTGGGACCGCAGTTTAGGTGCCATTAATTTATGTAATTGCCATGCTTGTGCAGGAACATAGGAGGAACACCTTTAAAAAGCTTTTAAGATTCAAAACCTTTTCTATGCTGGTCACTCGACAGGATCTGAACTATGCTTGCAGTGAGCACTTGTTAACAGCTTCAGCTTTCGTGAAGCAAGGATGATTTCAGTCTTAGGTGTCTACAACATGGTTGCTGTAATTGCATCTCTACTAACAGCCTGGAGAGAGTAATCCAAGTCTGAATAGCAGTGGAGGCATTCTGTCCCTTCTGGAATTAGAAGTAGTTCCCCTAGATATTTAACACTGTTGCTCCTTGAGCAGTGAGGCTGGCAGAAGCCTGCACGGCTGCCAGAAGAG